TCTCTGTTGTGTCTCCGTCTGGGCATCTTTTGAAGTGATTCCTGGTACCTTTAGGACTACATTTGCTTTCTCTGGCTTGCTTGTCCATGGTTCTGAAGTTAGTGCAGATGTCACCTGCTGGTAGAGAGAGAGTTTCTGCTCTACAAGTGGTGTTTGGATACTTCTCATCAAGCATAGCAAGAGCCAGGGTTCTCTGTTGTGTCTCCGTCTGGGCATCTTTTGAAGTGATTCCTGGTACCTTTAGGACTACATTTGCTTTCTCTGGCTTGCTTGTCCATGGTTCTGGCCTAAGTTTTTCGCACAGTACAACATCTCTTTCAAGCAGATCTTGGTGCTGTCTGTACAGTTCTCTAGCAAGGTGGTTGGGGCTCTGACGCTTCAGTCTGTTTTTTGTTCTCTCTTGAAATTTAAAATGCAGTGGGTGACTTTGAAGTCTTTTTAATTTCTCATACTGTAAAAAGAGTTTTGTATTGTCTTCTGAGTTCGAGTGGTTCAGTATCTGCTATGCTTTTTCTATTTTCTCTGATGGGGGTGGTTTTCACTGGCATCCGAGAACAATCCTTAATCCCATATTCTGAACCTTGTCCAGTTTTCCATTGTTGTCTTGGCTGCTGCAGCCCATGCAGTGGAGGCATATTCCATGACTGGCCTGACTGCTCCAGTATATACTTGTTTTAGGATTCTAGAGTTAGCGCCCCATGTGGTACCCGCTAATTTTTTCATAACTGCAAGCTTCTTGAATGCTTTTCCCTGTACTGCTTCTACATGTGACTTCCAAGTTAGTCGCGAATCAAGTGTAACGCCCAGAAAGGTAGGAGTGTCAGTCTGTGGAATAAGCTGGTTTTTAATCCAAATTTCGATTTTTTCTTTTTTTGGGGAGAGAGAGAAAAGTGATGCTGTGCTTTTTGATTTATTTAGCTTTAGACCCCACTTTTCGGTCCAGGCTTCTACATTTTCCACATTTTTTTGTAACAGATATGAGGCTGTGGTAGTGTATTCGGAGGCTGTCCAAACTGCAAAGTCATCGGCATGTAGGGTATTAAAAACGAGCTGGTGGCAGGTTGCTGTGATATCATTAATGTAAACTAGGAACAGAGTTGGTGATATAGCACTGCCCTGGGGAACTCCTTCTCTAAGTTTTGCCAGTTTGCCAATGTGTCAATCAATTCTGAATCTGGCTCTGCGTTGGAAACGAAAGTCTTTGATCCACTTGTACATGTTGTGCACAACTCCTGCCTGTAGCAGTTTTAGTTTGTAGGCCTTCTTTCCAAACTTGAAGTGATGCTTGTCATTACGATTTATATAAAAAAGCTCCTTTGCTTACCGCAGAGTGTACTACTGTAGCACCCCAAAAAAATATGTTATAAAAACAGGTGCTAGTACTGTGTACCATTACGTACTATCAGATTAAAAAAAAAAAAGGTAATTGTGATAATACAAAATATACACTAAAAGAGGAGATTTGCCAATCAACTCGAGACACTGAGATGGCTACTGTAGCAGAGGAAGCAGCATGAATGGATCGGATTGATGTGCTAGTTAAGACAGTGGCACTCAACCTTCCTAATGCTACGACCCTTTTATAGTCCACTCATGTTGTGACAACCTCCAGACAATTATCTTCTTTCAAAACTTCAACTAGTATGTGTTTTCCAATGGTCTTAGGCGACCCATGTGAAAGGGTCGTTCGAATCAAAAAACGGTCAGGACCAGCAGGCTGAGAACCGCTGTGCCAGAATGTCGATACGGACAAGTAATATTAATAACCAAAAGAGAAGGACTTAAGTAGGGTAAAGGGTCGACAAAGAATAAGATGTAACGATAATACCGGAGAAAGTCTATAACAGTGACCATAAATGAGGCTGACAGTTACCAGATCTTTTTATCTCACAGATTCTCCGAAAACCCGAAACGGTAAAAGAGACAGTCTTCTTCGATCCTTCTGTCAGAAAACTTATATCAGGAGGCCGGTAGCCTTTATGAAAGCTATCGTGCAATCCATATCCTCTCGTGTACCATACAGTTTTGTCTTCATTGTGGTTGGAACAGGCCAGATTGCGTCTCTGTTGTCAGCATACAGTTGACAGTGTTGGAGCACATGCTCAGCATTTTCGGGTGCCACGCTGCAGGGACACGTCTCCGTATTTCCTACACCGAAAAAATTTGAACATATGTTGACGAAATCTGTTGTGCCCTGTCCTTAGTCTGAATATAATAGACTGTCCCTCTCTAGAGAGGCGATGAAGTGAGTCTTGGGGAGAAAATCTGTTGTGGGTATCCAGCCACCTTTCTTGGATACTAGATTGTATTAGTGTTTTCATCTCTTGGTGGGTTAAGTCGCTATTTGGTTGTACCATGTCACTGCCGCTTCTGGCCAATCTGTCCGCTATTTCATTGCCTTCCAAGCCACAGTGACCTGGAATCCACTGCAGTACAGATTGTTCTACTGAAGAGCCTAGGTAAATCAGCTGTTGCGTCAAGTCTACAAACTGAGTGTCTTTTGGGTTAACAATTGCTTGTAGAACTGACATAGCATCAGTCAGAAAGACCACTCTGCTATATTTGCTTTGCTGTTGTCCATTCAGGAAAGAACATGCGGCTAGAAGTGCTTCTGCCTCTGCTCTGTAATTGGAGGAATATGAACCTGTTGGTACAGCCTGGTTGATTTTAAAACCATTTGGGCATTCTATGTATATTCCTCCTCCTCCGTCTCTTACTGCTCTCTTGGCTGAACCATCTGTATACACTCGAATCCAACTCTGGTGTGGGTAAAGTCTATTGATCTCTCGTTCTGTAGTTGATTTCATATCAGTGCTGCTCATTGATGATTTGGAGGAGACCCCTGTTACAGTGGTTCTGACTGTTGGTAGGCTATCCCTAAGCCAAGCGGGGCAGTCGTTGTAAGGTTTAAGTGGAACATTTGGTATTATGGGAGGGAGTTTAAGGACAGCGAGCTTGGCATTTGCGTTCTTAATAAAGCAAGTTCTCTTTAGTCTAGCCTTCTGGGGTTTCTGCAGTCGGCTGTACATGGGTTGTTCTTGAAAGTGGTGGTATTTGGAGAGCTGGGTGAGGATCTTTGTGTCTCTCCTAACTTCCAGATTACGGAGACCAGTAATTGTTTTCAGTATCTGATATGACAGTGAAGAAGAAGAAAAGAAGCAAAATATGATGATGATACGTCGACAATAACAATGACAGCTCCCTCCATCAAGTTTTCACTTCCGGGTCACCTCTATCGATAAATTTTTTTTCCCGTTCTGACTAACGGTTCGTTCTGTAATTATTTAACGTTTGTTTCCACCTCGCTTGGCAAAATGTAGCTTTTCGAGGATTTATTTAACACTGTGGATGTAAGTATGCTTATAAATATTCGTCCTGTGATGTAGCTAGAGCACTAATGAGTGAATTTCAGATTATTTGTGGAGGAATCAAGGCGGAGAAAGTGTTCGGGCAGCGCCCTCCGTTCAACAACATGGGGGAAATGAGGTCAATATTGTAGCAACAGTTTTCTTGGATTATCTGTTGATTTCTCTGTTTGCCATCAGTTCTGGTTGGACAACTTGTTTCACGTAGTCGCCGGAGAGAAATAGACTTGATGGTTTAAAGTGGGTGTGGGTAACGGTTGGTCGGTGGGGGTGTTGATCAGGGTGTATGTACTCAGTACTGTTTGATAAATCCGAATAAATAACCTTAATAACGGAACAAATCGAAATCAAAATTAATAAAAAATAATAATAATTAAATGAATGAATAATAAAAATGAATGCTCACGCATGATTAAATGGTTGCAAGAGATATTGCTGCCAAGCCCACCACTTTCTACTGAAATTAATAATCAACCACTCAGAGTAAAATTGCAGTTGATTAATCAATTAAAAATGCAAATGAAAATGTATTGGAGAGGACATATTAAGAAAACCGGAGAACCGTATAACTAGAATGTCTTTGCACGGGAACCCACAGGGGCATAGAAATATAGGCAGGCAAACAACACTTCGAGAAGGGAGGTAGAGAGTGAAATTAATAAAAAGGTGGGAAGGACATGGGGGGAGCTGTATGCAATTGTGAAGGATAGAACGACTTGGTGTGAGTTGGTTGAGGGCCTATTCCCCACTGGGGGATAGCAGATTCAAGAAGTATTAACAAGAGAGGATGTTTCACAAACAGATCATAGGCTAAACACTTGATTCTATTGATGATGCCTATGGAAAAAGTATAGTGTATATTTTTTAGCTGAGTCAAATCCATGGTGACTTGATGAAGTATGTGTGTCACTGGTAGTAGACAAGGTATACACTTCCTTCACTGCAAATGAGTCACCCTACACTTGCTTCATTCCCGTGCTAGTGAAAATCAAACAAGGTGCTCCACACTGTCCCCTTTAAAAACTAGTGAACCAATCCAGAAACATGCTCATGCAATAAATACACAAGGCAGCCACTTGAATCGCCACCAGAATTGCAGTTTGGGATTGATGTCATGACAATCTAGCCATACATATGCAATATTGTTGCATAAGTTAGTTAGTTGGGAACTGATCATTGCCCTCCGGACATGTCCATAGGTGCTCAGATAATTAAAGCCTGTAGAAAATAAAGGGAGAAAAAAATAAAAAATGACCATGCCCTCTGTGGTAGTAAAGTCATGTCAAAATAAAAGAGCTCTGTTTTGTTTGCCTTTACTGTGCTGTTTGTAAAGAGGCTATTTCAGTCCCAGGGTGTTTAGTATTAGAGACCCAAGAGGTAGTAAAGAGAGATGTAAAATTGGCACATTTTGCCTTCATTGGCCTTCTAGGCAGGAGCCTATGAAGCATTCCTTGTGACTGAAAGAGTTAATGTTTGCCCTTGGCTTGCAGCGCACAGATCCAGAAATCCAGGCTCAAGGGATGGGAATAGTGCGATGATTGTTGTAACCATGGATGTGGTCCAGGCAACCGCTGGACTCAAGTCACAGATGTTTTTATTTGCTTAAGAAGTGGAGTGCTGGATTGCTGAGAGGCCATGTTTCGTAATGTGTTCAGTGGGTGTGTATCTGACCGCAGCTCACAGGCAGAGGCATTTCGCTCCCAGAAGTAAGTAGATTTTCTGTGTTTGTTTTTCTTCTTTCTGTTGTAAGGAAGTTTTCCTGTGTGGATTCTGGGGCTCCACTTTCAGTGGGAAAATGAACAGACTCACCCCTTAACAAGCATGTTGTAGAAGGTGAGTAAATAACATTTGAGACTGAAAGGTGCAGATGTGGCTCATGTTTCTCACTTGCAAGTATTTTTAAAGGATGAAAATAGAGATGGCTGGGATATATTTGCAAAATGCCTTATGACATGTGTCTGGTGAATGGCAGATGGAAAAAGAGATGTGGACAACCTAAGGAAACCTGGACAAAGACAGTAGAAAGGGAAATGGATTGAAAACTGACATCGGGTACCATGTGCAGAAAAACATCAGACCAGCAGCAATGGAAATCACTTGTGAATGCCTTGTGTGCCAGTGACATGAAGAGGATATAGATACACAGCAGTAACCTCTTCCCCCCTTCATTGTCAAGATCTAGTAACGGTTGTTAAAGCCGGAACAGTGTAGTGTTATGCTGCTGTCTTTTGACTTTTTCTGCAGCAAGTGTGATGTTTTGTTCTGTAAATCCCTATTGTTGTGTGTAGTCGTCATGAATTAACTAGTGTGACAAGCACACAAAAAACAAAATCCTGAAATGCGATTAAAGGGAAGAGCAAGAAAACAGAACACATCATAAAAGATAATCTAAACAAAAATGAATACCCTGCAACCAGGCAGAATACCTCTTCTTCGATAGCTGCCCCTCACACTTTAGCTTAACGACAGGTGCAGATTAGGGAAAGGGACTCCCTGTTTAGGTTTTGTGGCCCTATTTTTGGAGGGAAAAAAAAACAAAACAAGAAAAGGATTTGCTGAAATCAGATGTGTTAGGCCAAAACATGTAGATATCACAGTCTAGCTGTAAACCATAACTCAGCATGCAAACCAAACCACCCTTTGAAAGGCAAATGCAGAAGAAGAAGGAAAAGAGGCATTACGCTTATGGGTCTAGAAAAGGGTGTTTCCTGTTGATGGTATTTATGCATATAGACATCAGGGTTGGTTTGAGGAGCCCTATTAAAGCTAACTGGTATGCACGGTGTTGAGGTGGAGGTCAGGAACTGTGAATAGAAAGATGGTATGCATCTTATCACTAGGTCTGGGAAGGCTAACTGGGGCAGCACTGAAGAAGTTAATGTCTGCCAAAAGGTGCAGATCTTTGCAGCCATGATGTAAATGAGCACAACTCCATTACATCCTCGGATAAATGCAGAATAAGACGAATATATCATTAAACTGGTGTGTGTTGTTTTGTGTATACATGGTGATGACAGCAGATTCCCTATAGATTTTAATTAGCCAAGCTTTTACAGCTCCTAAGGTTTTAGCCTGTTGTCTGGGCTGATTCTGGTTTTGCAACTTTTGAATCTGAAAACAAAGAATAATAAATTACTGAATGAAAGATGATATTCAGCTTAACATGTCTTGAATTCATCAAAGAAGTGGTTGTTTTTTTTGTCACCCTGAGATGATGATTGAAATCTTATCCTGGAGGGGAGACCAACAGGGCTCTAAGGAAGTTATAATTAGGACACCATTCAACTGGTCGCTTGTGGAGGCCTAGCAAAGAACCCTGCTGGTTATAGCCAGTTGTATGTATTAGTTATCTTTCTATGCTCAGGCCTCTGGTCAGTGAAGATCCTCATTTTGCGTCCCTTTACAGGTTGTTGAAGAATGAACCCCAGCATTTGTTGGCTGTTGTGGTTTTTCTAGGCAGATTTTACGTTCAGTAGTTTGCCGTTGCTTTCTGGTCAGTCAGCTCTCTGTACCACTGTCGAAACCAACGCAAGACAAGCGGTCCACAGCTGGGATCGAATCACGGCAACCCGGCATTACAAAGTGCATTCACAATGCCAAAGCCACAGACGCACATACTGTATGTAATCATAAGAATTGTTTGATTAAAAGTGATATTGTTTTCTTCAAACCGCTATGTACACGTTTACCTGCCATCCTGAGATTTAACAAATTTACTGGATGACAGAACAACAAGGCAGGTCCCAGGTACCCTGTTCAGCCTTCAGAGGGCCTAATTAGGGCACTGTATGTCATGACAGTCATATTCATACCTGTTGCTTTTAAACAAGAGCTTCATTTATCTGAATTGTATCCCAAAGAAATGTTATGAAAATGTTGTTTCCTCATTTTTCTAGGTTAAAATTTGGAGCTTCTCTTTCGTCTGCTTTAAAGCATGACTACTTGCCTGGTCCTCTTGTGGTGAGTGACATTTGTTTGTTGAGCATTATCTCCCTTTAGACTCCAGAACTGGAGTCATGGTTGTAGTCTCTTCACTTTCACAAATAAGTTGCCTTATTTTAAGAGGTGATTGTTGGGATACACAGAAAACAATGTATTCACTTGACAGAATATATAGTGGTTCATATAGCCAGAGAAAACATAATTTTTCCTTTCCACAGAATATATAGCTTTATGTAGCCAGAGAAAACATATAACTAGAGAAAACATATTTTTTCCTCATAATATATGGGTTCATGTTGCCAGAGAAAACATATAGCTAGAGAAAACATATTTTTTCTTTCCTTATAATATATGGGCTCATGTTGCCAGAGAAATCATAATTATTTTCTCTTCCCAGGATATATTGGTTCACATTGCCAGAGAAGGCGTTTTGACAACGGATGTGTTCCGCCGTCCAGGGAACCCAAACGATACACGAAGGATAGTGAAACGGTTGACAGAGGGCAAGCAAGTCATCTATGCCAACTACAGTTTTTACACCTTGGCTTCGGTTGTAAAGGTGGGTCCATCTCTGTGTGTGTCTGTTTATATGTTAGACAATCCTCCAGTCATTCCCTCCCTACATCCAGCTGTTAGTCTTCCATGCATTCTTCAACCCTAGATTATAGAGGATCTTGCTCTTCTTCTTATTGTCCATGCTGTATGGCATTGGTTGTCATGTATATCAGTAACCGGGTGACAAACTCATTGTGGTCCGGGTTTACACCCGGGGGCAGGCAGAAAAGCCACATTTCTCCCAGATTTACGGTACCTATAATGGAATCAAGGCCGAAGGGTTGCGATATCCATATTACCGAGCCAAAGGGTTAACAACTCATGGTTTCTGGATACTTGAAAACAAACAAAAAATACACATCCTTCTGTCCCCTGTCTTCTTCTTCTTCTTATAGTTCACATTGTGTTTCATGAGTAACCAAATCTGTACACTACTTGCCGTCACAGGTACTTTCAGTTAGATCTGACACATGATCTTCCATGCCAGGATGTCAAACTGTCCAGTCAAACTGACTTCTCTCTTAGTCCCCATCTGCCTCTTTCTTCCTCCAGTTTTCCCCCACAATCACAATTTACTCCAGTTATTGCCTTCTTATGACGTGATCAGAGAATGTAGATTCTCTCATTCTGATATGAGCAGTCAGTTCTCTTTGTGAGTCACTTTCTTTCAAGCCATCTTTATTGCCTTTGTTTTTCTCCCATATCTGTCCAGGGTATTCTCATCTTTCATCTGTAAAACCACATCTTGGCTTCTTCAAAATAATTTTTTTTTTGGCAGTTGCCTACATAAAATTGCATAAAGCACCATCACTTCTGTGGCAACAGATCACTCACCATTTTCAGAATCTGCATTTCATGACACAACCCACTCAAGGCATATTTGAAAAGCATTCCAAATTAAATTCACAGCTCACAGTGTTGCACTGTGCCCTCAGCTCAATAGCAGAGTGATGGAACTGTGTACTTTCAGTCCACATATGGAGGAAGATGCAACAGCTAACTGCAGCCAGAAGCAGATAATGTGTCAGTGTATCTTGTCTATGGACCTTCCAGGCATTGGTCCCCCTACTCGGGCAAGAGTGAATGGATAAGTGTTTATTGGTCTGTTTCTACAGCTTCACACCAGAAAAATCACGACAATGAAAGTTTCCATGTAATTGTTGACCGTGACTTCGTGCGGGTGGTACTAGGTACATTTTTAACGACTATAGCCTAACAAGAATCAACTCTGTCCCAGCAAACATTAAATGTCAAATTAGGGGTAATTTTAAGAAAATTAACGTTATTTTATGTTCTGTTAAGGAGAGAAGATACAGTCAGCAATTACATGGAAACGTGTTTTTTTTTTTTTTTACAGAAATTCTTATTAAAGATTCCTGGAGGCATATTCACCCCAGAAGGCGAGGAGCATCTTCTACAGGTGTTGGCAATAGGTCCAAAAGTGGAGCAGATTGAATCGGTGCACAGGTAGGGCGTCTGCATTGTTGCTTATTTCTCATGGACTGAAAGTTTTGGGTTTAAAATGTGTGTGATGTTTAAGGATAGCATGAAGATTAATAATTTGTTGTGCATCTCTATTTCTTGTGGAGATTAATTTGCTTCCCTTATATTTATTGTTGCGGAGATTGATTTGTTTTCTGCTGTTTGTTTGTCATGAAGATTGATTCGTTTTTCTACTGTTTTTATTGTTAAGATTAATTTCCTCATCTTCTCTGTCACGGAAATGAATATTTTTTCTTCTTTGTTTCCATCGTAATCATTTTGTTGTGCAATTTATGTATCACTTGTTTTTTCTTTCTCTTTTTAGTTCACTTTATTTGATTCTGTTTTATTTGTCATGACAGTTATTTTGTTTCTTTTTGTTTGTCATAAAAGTTAGTTTATTTTCTTTTTTTTTTTTTTAAATTTTGAAAATAAATTTTTTTCTTTTGATTTGTGAGTGAGTGAGATTCAACTCCACCGGGATATCCACCAAGTGGTAAACACCCGGTGAGACAGTGCCATAATGTGGGTGAAGATCACCCCTGGGGAAAGGTCCCAGAAACCCCATTCAACTGTTAGATCATATTTGGGCCCACTGGGTGGGGCTTTGAAAAACGAGAAAACTACGTCACATATTGAGATGACAGATAATTAATGTATATAATTTTTATGTGTCATTAAAATTAATTTGTTTCACATTTTTCATGAAATTTAATTTTGTTGTTTTTATTTATCATGAAAATTGTGTCACTTCTCCATTTCTCATGAAGATTGTGCCTTTTTCTGTTGTTGGTTTTTTAACGTTTTTTTTTTTTTTTTTTGAACGATTATTGTTACATTTCTCTGTTTTTCTTGAAAGTTGTTCCCTTTCCAATATTGTCTCTGCTCCCCATGAAGATTGTTTTCCTTTGTCTATTTCTTTTGAAGATTCTTCCCCTTCTCTATGAAGATTGTTTCTCTTCTCCACAAAGATTGTTTCCCTTCTCCATGAAGTTTGTTCCCCTTCTCTCTTTCCCTTCTACATGAAGAGTGTTTCCCTTTGTCTATATCTTCTGAAGATTGTTTCTCTTCTCCATGAAGATTGCTTTCCTTTTCAATTAAGATTGTTTAACTTCTCCATGAAGATTGTTTAACTTCTCCATTAGGATTGTTTCCCTTTTCCATTTCCCATAAAGATTGTTTTCCTTCTCCATGAAGATTGTTTCCCTTTGTCTATGTCTTCTGAAGATTGTTTCCTTTCTCCATTTCCCATAAAGATTGTTCCCCTTCTTCATACAGATTGTTTTTCTTTGTCTGTTTGTTTTAAATATTGTTTCCTTTGTCTATTTCTTCTGAAGATTGTTTCCTTCTTCTCCATGAAGATTGCTTCCCTTCTCCATGAAAATTGTTTCCCTTCTCCATGATGATGTTTTTCTTCTCCATTTCCCATACTTAATGGTTTCCTTTTCCATGAAGAATGTTTCCCTTTGTCTGTGTCATCTGAAGATTGTTTCCCTTCTCAGTTTCTCTTCTCCATGATTGTGTTCGCTTCTTCATTCCATGAAGATTGTTTTCTTCTCCATGAAAATTGTTTCTCTTCTCCATAAAATTTTTTCTCTTTCCATGAAAATTGTTTCTCTTCTCCATGAAAATTGTTTCTCTTCTCCATGAAAATTGTTTCTCTTCTCCATGAAAATTGTTTCTCTTCTCCATGAAAATTGTTTCTCTTCTCCATGAAAATTGTTTCTCTTCTCCATGAAAATTGTTTCTCTTCTCCATGAAAATTGTTTCTCTTCTCCATGAAAATTGTTTCTCTTCTCCATGTAAATTGTTTCCATTATCCATGTAGATTGTTTCCCTTCTCCATTTCCTATGAAGATTGTTTCCCTTCTCCATTTCCCATGAAGATTTTTTTCCTTCTCCATTTCCTGTGAAGATTGTTTTTCTTTTCTATTTCTGTCAAAAATTGTTCCCTTTATCTGTTTCTTATAAAGTTGGTTTTCCTTCTCTTTTTTTTTTTCTTCTGAAAATTGCCCCCCCCCCCCCCCCCGTTGTACTCTTTTTCTCCTGAAACTTGTTTTCTTTCTCTGTTTCATATAAAGATAGTTTTTCTTCTCTGTGTCTAGTGATCATTGTTTCCCTTCTCTGTTCCTCCTAAAGTTTCATGGAGACCCTGACTCGAGCCCACCAGCAGCTAATTACCATGTTATTTGGGACGTGGTATCGTATTGTCACGTACCAGGATCAGAATTGTATGTCCGTGGAAGCCTTGTCCCGTAGTGTTGCTGGCAGCATGTTTCATACGTGTGCTGAAGATCCTGCAAAGGTAACTTGTCTACTTTTGTCACCTAGAGATTTAATAAGACATTCTTTATCTGTACAGAACAGCAGGCTATACTGGGCTGATGGCGCTTTTACGGGTGCTCCGGTTATAGTTTCTTTAGAGGTTGAACAAGGTATTTGGGATTTGCTCTGTTGATCTGTCATCCATACTGAGATATTTTAATCTTGGAGGAATGAGGGGGGAAAAGGGGGAGTAGGGGGGTAAAATATTCAGAGTGCAGCCTGGAGGGGAGAGTGGGGAGGCTGATCCAGGAATGTGGGTAATCCTATAGCTGATAATGCCAGAGCAGTGGTTTTCAAATAGCTAAGACTTGCAGATCACTCTTATTTGTTTTAAGTTCTTCTACCCTGAAACACCCATACTTTTTAATGGTCGTGCTGAAAAACCTCTTGCAGTTTATAAATATTAGAATCACAATCCCTGTGTGGGTTTCGGGGGACCCATTGTGGGGAAAACAAGAATAGACCCACGCTGCCTTCCCAGCAAACATGGCAGGAGCTTCCTTTGAAGTCGAATTGCATCTGGCCGAGCAGCAAGGAACAACCAGCTGCACACAAATAAACCAGTGAAACGAATGTACACACAAAACTCAGGCCCTGGCCCAAAGCCAAAGTCCAAATGAATGAACAACCAGGACTTTCAGCTGAAGCTTACAGCCAGTGAACAAAGAAGAAAAAGGGTCACAAAAAGAAAAGCACGCTTAAGTTAAGTTTGTGTGTGTGTCTGTGCTGTAAATGATGTGAGAGATATTAGGCATTCACACATACTAAGTCACTAGTTAGTGAAGTCTGTTGACCAATTATGACTTGTCCATTAAAAAGGTTTAAAACCAGATGAAAAGTAGAACCAGTTAGCTTTAGATTGGCATGAATACAAATGGCAAGTGAGTGGTGCATTCTGAACTGTTTGGCCAGTAGTTTCTCAGCCTGGGTGCCAGATTACTATCTGACATTTGTCTGGAGAGGAAAGGCCCCCACCCCATTTTTTTTCTTCCTGAGTAGGAAGTCCCAACATTTCACAACTTGAAGTAGAATGTTCCATAAAAATACTTGTACCTTATCTTATATTTTGTTTAATAGCTATTCAGTTATGAATATCTCTCTCTCTCTCTCTCTCTCTCTCTCTCTCTCTCTCTCTCTCTCTCTCTCTCTCTCTCTCTCTCTCTCTCTCTCTCTCTCTCTCTATCTATCTATCTATATCTCTCTGTTTCTCCCTGTCTCTTCTCTGTCTCTGCCCCCTCTCTCTTTGTCTCCGTGTATGTCTATGTGTGTGTCTCTTTTTGGGTATATATCTCTCTGTCATCCCCCCCCCCCCCAACAATCTGGCTCTCTCACTCTCCCTACCCTCTCTTATCCCACTCCTCTTCCTTTTCCCCCTTTCATATATGTACATACATTTATTTGTAACATTTTCATATATGCAGGCCTGCAGTGACTATATACTCAGTACATTGTTTATTTGATAATTTGTATATTGACAGTAAGGTCACAAAAAACAAAAACCCTATCGTTATGTTATCGTTATGTTATCATTTGTTATGGTTTTTATTCTACAGGTGGAGAGAGCTAGTCGCATCATGCAGTTCCTGATAGACAACTTTGGTGTGGAGAGTATGTTTGGCCAGGACAACGTGAGATTTTTTGTGGAGACCACACATACGGGGCTACATATACAGGAGCTCTTCCATTATGGTTATGTTTCAGAAGCGCAACGCATTCCACGTAAGTAGTGAACTCAAAGTTATGGTAAAAGTGGCTGAAGGACATAGTTGATGTAGTTTTACGAGGCATGATCAAATCAAAACTGCCACCAGTTTCCACTGGTAGGATTATGCTTGCTGCATTTTTGTTTTTTGCCAGGACTTTTGTTGCCAGACTTTTTACTCTTGTATTCCTAAGCAGTTGTTTCTGCAAACAGCTGTTATCCCAGGGAGTTGAGTTTAAAGTCAATAAATTGTGACATTTACGGGATATTGGGCCCTACTGGATGCGTCGATGTTTTGACTGCTCAGGGTGAAAGTGCTAAACAAATAATTTAGATACAAGGGGTTAATATGACAGAAGACAATGAGTACATATTCTCTTTAGGATGCCAAGAAATGTATGAGTGTTGATTGGTCTTTAAAAATAGCAGTCATGTAGCATATACCAGAGGTGTGCAGGTGCGGAAAGGGTCCTTTTTGTTTGTATATTGGTTAAACATTTACAAGTGTTTAGCTGATTGAATTATTGGATATTAACTCTTTCATCTCAAGAAGCTGCAAAACCAACACTTCTGGTTGGGTCTGTTACACGTAAATGTCACTTTTCCAACATGTCTATAATGACCTGTTTATGAAACGTAGTTAATTCTATTGGCTGTGTTTTGCAAACATTTAGGTCAGGATATGAATACATTAACAGAAAGAAAAAGCATTTAAGGTTTTTGTCTTTAAGTCAGATAGCTCTCTCCCCCCCCCCCCCCCCCCCCCCCCCCCCCCCCCCCCCCCCCCCCCCCCCCCCCCCCCCCCCCCCGGCCCAAATTGTCCATGAAGCCTTAGTGATGGAGGTTACAGTGGTGAGGCCTGAGTCACCTGGTACACATGTTTTCAAGGGGAATGTATTCCATTTAATGCTTCACCTTGTCCATCTTTATTGATGCTGCCTTCATAAATTTTTATGTTTCGAGAAAGAACAAAATTTAAAATGTAGATAAATACATTGTTTTTTTCAAAACTATTATCTCCCCCGTGTGGGTTCCGGGGCCCTACTATGGGAAAAACAAGAATAGACCCACTGCCTACCCAAAAGCATGTCGTAAGAGTCGACTAATTGGGAGCTTCCTTCAAAGTCGGAGTGCATCTGCCTGAGAGGCAAGGAACCAACAGTCTGCATACAGATCTGTCAAATGGATGCACATGCAACCCTCAGGTTCTGGAACAGGACTGCAGTCCAGAAGTGAACGAACAACCAGAACTTTCCGCCAGAGTTTACAGCCGGTGAACGCGAAGAAGAAGAAGAAGAAAACTATTATCAACCCCTGTAAAATTATTATTACATTTTGTTTTTAAGGATTAAAAAAAAACACTGCAGTGACACTTGACACATTTTTTATATAGTGTTCCCTGGGCAAGAGTTAAGGCTTGGTATGAGTTTGTTGAGGGCCTGTGCTTTATTGACGGATAAAGGGCACCAAAAGAGGAAGATACCCTGCCCTATTTAGGTGTCACTTTAACATGCTATGATGGTATGTAACTTACTCATATTTAAATGTAACTTTTCTCTGACATATTTGATGTTTTATAACATAATTCTGTTGTTTAACTCAGCAGGGACGTCAGAGTTCATAGAGATGACAAGAATGGAAAAGGAAGAAGAGGAGGAGGACGACGAGTATGAAGACCGAGGTCTTGGAAGAGAGAGAGAGTTTAGTGAAAGCCCCCAGCTCTCGCCAACCGCACTGAGGCATTCGAGAGATGAGATTCATGAGTCACAGCTGATCAACACATCCACATTGTCAGCTCCTGAAGTGTCTTTAGTTCCTTCACCTGAGGTCTCCAAGGTAGGGCCATATCTGCTCTTGTTACATGTCTACAAGGTGCCATAGCAACGACAGTAGTTTGAATACCTGCCTAACAAGTCAGTGGTCTGCATACACTTCATTGCAGACAAGACGCCCAACTTCTAGACAAGAAATCCCACTTTTAGACAAATTATCCCACATCTAGACAAGATGTCCTATTTGTAGTCAGAATATCCCACTTCTAGACAAAATTTCCCAGTGTTGGACAATTTGTCCAACTTTTAGACAAAATGTCCCACTTCTAGACAAGCTCTCCCACTTCTAGACAAGATGTTCTACATATAGACAAGATGTCCCACTTCTAGACAAGATTTCCCAGTGTTGGACAATTTGTCCAACTTTTAGACAAAATGTCCCACTTCTAGACAAGCTCTCCCACTTCTAGACAAGATGTTCTACATATAGACAAGCTCTCCCACTTCTAGACAAGATGTTCTACATATAGACAACATGTCCCACTTCTAGACAAAATATCCCACTTTTAGACACAATTTCCCACGTCTAGCCAGTGTCCCACTTCTAGACAAGATGTCTTTATTCAAGACAAGATGTCCCACATCTAGAAAATGTGCCACATCTAAACAAGGTATTCCATTTCTAGACATAGTGCAGTGATATTACTCCATACAAATGATTATTATCTGTGCAGCAAAGCAAACTGAAACATAAAAAAATGTTTTGTCTAATGCCATAATGTGTAGCAATGCAGCTTTGCAAATACAGCAAACCTCTTTAACACAAACTAAGTAAGAAGAATGCTGAGTTAACATAAACCAGATTTGGTCCCAGCAACGATGTATTATTGCTTTTAGTCCCTGATTAACACAGATTTCTTTAACACAAATTCAGTTTTTGGTCCTGTGTAATTTGTGTCATAAAGGTTTTACTGTAGTCAATTTTCTTGTTCCTCTTCTGTTTATGCTGTTTTGAAGAAATTTCTCTCTTATTATTTGAATAGTATTTTCTTTCTTTAGTTTTTCACTACACGAGATAAAGGGTTGTGGATAGCCATGACTACCAACACCACACGGTATGGACTTTAAAAAGAAGTTGTTCACTATATAAAGAATATCCTATTAATAGTTTCTCACCAAGGGCGTGATGTTTTTCTTCTCTTGATGTCATAATTGGATGGATGTTTTTGTGCTAGTTTTTATTAAAGAATATTTTCCTCTTAACATTTTATTATTTGTGCAGTGTTTCTGAAAAATCCTGGGTTCGTTTCACAGCTGCATCGTTCGGTTAACGAGTGCAGTTTTTACGGAAATCCCTGTAGATTGTTGCTGTGTTTATGCTTTGTTGGATAAGTAAATGGCTAGCCGTTCTGCGGAGAGACTTTCATTTTGTTCTTCTTTTACTTTTTTTTTGTTTTTACTGATATGGTTTTACTATATTGATAGCAGTTTTAGCGTAATGGCTAGATGGGTACCAAGTCGTGTTGGAAGTTCTTCGTCTTCATCAGCTGCAATTTCTGGCGGAAAGTTCTCATTATTTAACCACCTCTGGACTTTAGACTTGTTCTAGAACTTGAGTGTCGCGCTGTTTTACAGATCTGATTTATTTGTATGCAGACTGTTGGTTCCTTCCCTCTCCGGCAGATGCACTTCTGCTTTGAAGGGAAACCCCAATTAGTTGACTCTTACGACATGTGTGTTGGGGAGCCAGTGGGTCGGCACTTGTTCCCCCCCCCCTTACAATGGGGCCCCAAAATTCACAGGGGGAACGCTGGAAGTAAACGTGACCAATGCCATGTTGACATATCCCATAGAGTTCCTGTCATTCTATACAAATACGGGTGTAAGTCAGCATCATGTCCCTGATGCCCAGTCAAAAAGAATATTTTTTTTCTCTTCTTTATAAAGTTTTTTTTTAAAAAGTGTGTTTATTGTTTGTTTGTTTTTAATGTAACAATTTAAAAAAAAAATTGTTTGTTTAATAATTGTGACAAAAACATTTTTTACGTCTACTGTTTTATTAATATTGTTACTTTTGGCTGTTGTTTCAGCGACCCAAGTCATTAGAAGATAACTTGAATGAAGTTCGGTCTCATTATCAGAGTCGCTGCCTCAGCCGGTTTAATTCTGTGAAACGCAAGCAGCTAGAGAGACTTCGTCAGCGATCTGATTGGTTCCTGAGTCCCACAGTCAGAGAGCGAAACAACAGCAGGAAAGGCAAGGGGGAATGGACATTAAGCCAGTTTTCCAGCAGCAGTGGTCAGAGCAGCGGCCAGCACCGCGGAAATGGCAACTGTGATGGCAAAACTAATGGCGGCGGGAACACCAGTTCAAAGGGCAACAGCAAAGTCCTGCAAGCAAAAACCTCAGGGAACTCAGTTGTCACAAAAGCTTCATCAGAAGGTGCTGTGTTGGAAGCTTTCTCCGACGGAGACAGTGTTTTTACGGACAACACAAGCCGCAGTGAGTCGCCAGCGTCTGAGCCTGTCTGGTCTCACATTCTTAAAGTCCACTCCAGGGACATTATCCACAGTGACACCGGTGTGTTAGCTCCTCTTGAAATGAGTTTGTACGGAGGGAGTTCGGGGGCCGATCTCAGCATTGACTCCCATGATAATATTAGTGGCCAGCATTTTGGCGATTTATCTCCGCCGCTGCTGCGAAGCAAACTGGTTGAAGAGGAGGAGCAAGGGACGAAAGGGGATGACGAGGAAGAGGATGAAGATAATAACACCCCGACGGGAATACAAGATGAAGAAGACACGATAATGGCGTCATCCAGCCTTGAGCTCCATCAGAACAGTTCAACAGACAAGGGTAGTGCTTGCAGCCAGGACTCTCCCATCGATTCTTTTGGCGACAGCGGGGAAGACACTAAATTAAAACAGAAAGAAGGAGGGAGCAGTGCCAAATCTCAGGCATCCTCCATAGAGACAGGTGAGCAGGGTGGTCTTATTCAAGGGCAGCAAACACAACACGAACAAGTCGGATTTGAAACAGTAGTTGAAGCAGCAGTAGCAGCAACAGAGGGGCAAGAACAAGCGGAGCTACCAGAAGAAGATGTAGATAGGTTGAGTGAGCAGACACAGTGTTCGTTAGTCAAACAATCTTCTGGTGACAGCATCACAGACTCCTAGCAGCAACTCCAACTGTAGTGTCTCAGCAGACTGGAAATATTTTTCCTTCAATTTGTAGTCATGCTTTTTATTTTTTTTTTTTTTTAAATTTGTGTAATGTTTTAATTTTTTCAACTTTACATATGTTGTTTACCACACGAACACTGTCATTTCCTGATTGCAGTGTTTTGTGCGCCTTTAATTGTTCAGTTATGTGTTAGTTAAAGACGTCACCCTTCATATTTATTCCTCTGTTAACATTTTTAAAATATGTCTTTTTTTTTTTTGTAAAAGAATTTGTAGGCTCAGAAAATTAAATACTACTAAATCAAAGAAATGACAAAATGTCTGTTAGATCAGTTTAAAGTGTTTTAGAGAAATGTAAATACTATTTTGATAATGCGGAAAACTTACCAAATAGTGCAGTTTGTAGAAGTCAAACAAGTAGTGCAGTTTGTAGAAGTCTAACAAGTATTTGTAGATTGACGAAACAGATGATTTTCATTACGACAGAGAGTTGCTTTGTTTGATTTTTGCGACACATGGTTAAAGTTTTTAGCAATAGTTGTCTTACAGACTAGTAGTGACTAAAATCGTTAGGAAACTGCACATAATTTTCTAATTCCCTGACAATGTAGTCACCTATTTTCAGTTGGCTTATTAAGTGTATTTTGCCGGATAGGACTTTAACCAAGGGTAATATTGTTTTAATTATGCTTATTGCACTATTTTATACATTTGATCTTTTTGTGTGTTTTAGTTTGAAATATGCAAGCGTTGATTTTACTTGTGGGTAGTTCACTAGTGAAATCAGCTGTTAAGCAGTGATATCTTTTTTGACTAGTCTGCAAATTGAGAACCCATTGCCGAGTCCTCTTTGACAGTTATTTTATTTTATTTTATAGTTTGGTCAGTGTTTTTATAACAAAATACATGTTAATTGTTACTTTTGTGTGGCGTGTATGATGTAGATGTAAATGGCTGTGCAAAGTGTGACAGAATGAGGACATGGGCAGATCAAACATAAATTGTTGTTGTGACTAAACATTAGAGGCTGATGTTAAATCTAAACATGAGAGGCTGATGTTAAATCTAAACATGAGAGGCTGATGTTATATCTAAACATGAGAGGCTGATGTTATATCTAAACATGAGAGGCTGATGTTATATCTAAACATAAGAGGCTGATGTTATATCTAAACATAAGAGGCTGATGTTATATCTAAACATGAGAGGCTGATGTTATATCTAAACATGAGAGGCTGATGTTATATCTAAACATGAGAGGCTGCTGTTAAATCTAAACATGAGAGGCTGATGTTATATCTAAACATGAGAGGCTGATGTTATATCTAAACATGAGAGGCTGATGTTATATCTAAACATGAGAGGCTGATGTTATATCTAAACATAAGAGGCTGATGTTATATCTAAAAATGAGAGGCTGATGTTAAATCTAAACATGAGAGGCTGATGTTTAATCTAAACATCAGACGTTGATGCGATGTAGAGATTAATTATAGATTAGTGTTTTATCTAAAGATTACAAATAATGTATAAGCCTAAACTTGACAGATCAGTGTTGTCTAAACATGACAGATTATTATTATACTTAAACATTACATACCTGTGTTATACCTAAACATGACAAATCATTGTTGTGCCTAAACATGACAGATCATTGTTATACCTAAACATTACATTATGTTTTACCTAAACATGATCATTGTTGTGCGTAAACATGACAGATCATTGTTATACCTTAACATTACATACCTGTGTTATACCTAAACATGACCGGCTGATCTATTTTACCTAATTACTAAAAGAGATCTTACATGCTCAGACATTAACTGGCCATTCAGTAGCTCAGCAGTTATTGTCTGGGCAGTTTTAATGGATAGATGGTGCTGATTATTAGAATGATATATGAGGTGTGTTGATGTGTCTAGATAGAAATGTAAACATATTCTTACAGTACAAACTGTTGTAATTTGCAAACATTCTATGGGAAATGTTTCTAACATAACTGTTTTAACCCTGCTTCACGGTGTCCACCTCAAGTGCTGGAGGTCCTGGGTTCAAGTGAAGGCTGGGATTTTTCTTGGTAATTTTCCCTGGTCTCTGGGTAGTAAGGATCTGATGCCTGTGTATATTGTTGTGCACATAAAGAATCCCTTGGCATTTAGAAATTGAAAAGAGCGGCCTAACGGCGCTGGCCGGGCAACATTTTGAGTTAAAAATCTACCTAAAGTATTTCAGGATTCTCGCTGGTGCAACAGAGTTCGTGCACTGCGCTGAGATTCTTCAGACAGGCTTCAGTTAGAAAAAGAACAGAGCACTTATGAATTACACCCGTGTGCCATGATGTTGATTCCTTGAATAAACAATAAACAAACAATTAACAGTGATCTCGTCTCTGCCCTCTCTGGACTTCAGTTTGCCTCATAAACCTCAGGGGCACCAGTGTAACCTTATGGTTGAACAGGGTTTGACAGGATTTAGGTAGGATTCTTGTCCTTTAGGTGTTAATCCAGCGGACTGCAATCTTGAAGGGAACTAACTGCAATGCAATGCTGACCAGCTGCAGTGACCACTGTCCAATGACATCCACAATATCACCCCCCCACCCCCCCCCCCCCCCCCCCCCCCCCCCCCCCCCCCAGTTTTCGGAAAAAAAGACTATTTTCATGGCGACATTTGAACATGGAGAACTGTCACAAACACCACTTATCACATAGGCTACTCAGGTGTGGAAGTCATGGTAGCAAAATAGCTAGATACTCACCTGCCCACCCAGAGGTCTTGGGCTCAAATCCACACTAAATTGGGATTTTTTCCTACAGTTGACCATGGCTTCCATGTGGACTCAGCCTAAAATAGGCACCAGACAATGTTCTGGGAAGTAAAGGCAGCAGATATGAAACTTCATCACCCGCCACGTGATAACTGTCTAGAATCATTTGCCTGATCTGCCAAAGCGTGTGAACAGTTCCTAATTACTTATTACTAATGAGGCTTTGCTACTTATTACTAATAGGGCTTTGCTACTTATTATTAAAGGGGCTTTGCTGCTTATTATTAAAGGGGCTTTGCTACTCATTACTAATGGGGCTTTGCTACTTATTACTAATAGGGCTTTGCTGCTTATTACTAATGGGGCTTTGCTAATTATTATTTATGGGGCTTTGCTACTTATTACTAATGGGGCTTTGCTACTTATTACTAATGGGGCTTTGCTGCTTATTACTAATGGGGCTTTGCTACTTATTACTAATAGGGCTTTGCTACTTATTATTAATGGGGCTTTGCTACTTATGTCAGTTTTGAAAACAAGGCACAAAGGTCATATACGAGGGGGAAAAATCAGACTTGAGGCAGATTTGATCCAAGGACTTTCAGTCCTACAGGCTAGCATTTGGCTGCTGCGCTGGCTCTCTAATGGAATGTCCTTGTTTGTGAACAGACCTGGTTGTTTGAAGTCTAATTGCAATGAACAATTGCATGACCCACAGATGTATGCGATATGACAGTACTGTCCATGCCAGTGAGTAGCAACAGTTACTGGCATTTTTTTGTTTCCTGATGCATGTGTTTGAACCTGACCCTTTGTCTGCCATGGTGTTAGCTAAGATGTGGTCGGCCACCAGATTTATGTATGCGTAAGCTGCAATGTGTACTGCACCTAGAGTGTTAACTATATTTTCTGTACCGTTGGTTTTTTTTGTTTACACCATATGCCATCTATATATGTTTTCTAGTTATTATGCATTCATACATGTTTGGAAATCTTTGTTTTTCCCCTGCACATGTGTGAAGTTTTATTTTTATATGGATTTTTTTAACTATATGTAAATTATGTATTCTTGAACTATTTATAAATACCTTGGTTCATTAACATCTTTGTTCAAATGCCACCCATTACGTGACCTCAAAGAGGCCTGCCCAGTATTTATCATCATCAGATGTACAGCCACACCCTGACTCGTACATCTACTTCTTCTTCTTCTTCTACACGCTTACCGGCTGTGATACTTCAGTTCAGCTTATTTGGAGCAGGAATTCACACATATATTGTGAAGCGACAAATAACAGCCCTGAACATACACACCTGAAAATCGCTAATGTCACATTTAGATGACTGTGGCATGGTGCCATAGATCTGTATAAGGTCACAAACTGTATTTTCATTCTACTGTATCCAATAGGGTTATGGTTTTAAGCCGGTATTTTCATGGTTAAACCTAGCTCTTGGTCAGTGATGATTTCACTCCCAGACATATCTCTGATTGCCATGTCCACTTATGTAGCCAGTAGTGAGATACAGATGTAAATGAAATCAGTCAAGGAACCTCTTTAGGCCAATGCTGCTTTAAGTATCTAATGTTAGATTGGTATCTTTTTAGACCAGTTGTTCACTATGTAGGATATGTGGTCAGCATCAGCATGATGCATCACTGTGCTTAACACTCTTGGCGTCCTTAACAACATTATCGACAGGCTACAAGACAATGGCTTGATTACTTTAATAACATTTAAAAACCATGGACTTTGTGGGCACTCACTGAAGTCAGCGATAGATGAAGACATTTCTGATACTGTTATTAACATATGAATGCACATCAGTGTATTCTCTAACTGGGTTTATAAAAGTCCAGTGTAACTTTTGCTGTGTTCAGTGATGACTGAGATTTAACATGTCTGGACCATAATCTAGGTTTCAGAAGTCCAGTGTAACGTTTGCTTTATCCAGTGATGGTTGAGTGTTAACATTTTTGTTAACTCTAATATATGTTTATACAAGTCCTTGTAAGATTTGCTATATCCAGAGATGATTGAGTGTTAACTTTTCTAGACTCTAAACAGGGGAAGCCAATGGTCATGGCTGGTGGCTTTTGCCTAACTTTGATTTGTTTGTATTTTTTCCCGGTTGTGATTTTTCAATACTTTCTTGATAATTGTGTGTGGTACTAATGTTCGTGTAAATATGACATACATTAGGAATAGTTCGCCCACTCAGG